TGTACAAATAATTTCGTCACTAACTATGGGTGCTATTTCTTCAGATGCACACAAATATTATTCTCTACGTACGTACATGTTATTACATCAGTTGTTATTAATGCACTACGTTGTTATTAATGCACTAATTTAACTAAAAAATTTTTTTTTCAGACGAACTTTCGGCGCGGTAATATGAATATGGTTTGGGGACGCGGGACGAGCTTGACGTGAGCGCCTGCGACTAGGGGATGATAAAAGGACACGTGGACGTCGCAGAGGCCTGCGTCGCAGGTCTTTAAGACAATGCTCCAGATTTTCATGCGACGCGAAGGGTACAGAGGTTGTTACGTTTGCTGGTCGTATGACTTCTAAGTCCAAGCTAGCTATAAGGTGGACCATGGGCAGAGACGAGACTATAGGTTTGGGGAACTGTATTTGGTGGAATCTGGTTTACAAATGAGGCATAAAGGCTTGTTGGCCTTACATGACCTACTATTGACACTATACTATAGTAGTTCTACTTGAATTTGATGCTAATACGTAAACACGTAAGTCGTAACAGAGGTGATGCAAGACCGAGTCCTTCATCGCAGGCTACAAGAAAATTGTGGGGGGGACTCGAGAAGATATGGGACTTAGGAATTTTCAAAGATTTTATAACTAATCACGTCATCCATATATTCTACTGATGAGTGTCGTACTTATTTTTCCAGCTAATTCGGGTCCTTGACGTCTTGATGAGAGCACGTCAGACCTGCCAGCAGGGCACGGCTAATCCAGCTCAGCCGCCGTACATCGAGGCAGGTTGCAGGCGCCGAGGCTTGCGTTTGGGTTTTGGCAGCGGATTTAAATCAGCCGCGCCTGCCGTACGCCGGCTTAAATTAGGTAAAAAATAACCGCCAGTGGCTCAATAGGCGGGAGAAAATCACCGCATTTGCATGCATGGGAACGCGGGAAACGACGCTCGGGTCACTAGGTGCTGCCAGCGAGGAGCGGACTAGTTCTCTGATAGCGAAACAATTAAGAAATATAATCATGGTTCTCAGGTTAACATGAAGAAGAAATAAATAAGAATATGCGTTCAAAAATTACTTTTTAAGACAAAACTTCTAAAGAGACCTAAACATCTTCTCAAGAAGACATTTCTTTACAAGGCATCTTCTTTAGAAGGCACCTTTTTTTTAAAGAAGACATCTCAAACATCTTCTGAAGAGTGTTGCACATGTACAATATATTTATTATTTTATTTTTAAATATTACAAAAATTATTTAATTTTGTTTAATATTCAAAAAGATTTTTTTTCAAGTTTTAAAAATGATCTATTCTGTCAATTGATTCATGCATTGTCTCCGACTTTACGCAAGTGTGCAAATTTCAGGTCGATTGGAAAGATAGAAGTGTGTTAAATATGATTATGAGATTTGTTGCAGACAAACAACAAGAAGTGCAGTTAAAGAGAAGTGTTGTAATAAAAAAGTCACAGCCATCGCTGGCCTCTTTGGCCTCGCGATGCGATCATAAGCGACGGCACATTGCGTTCTCAGGTATGATATTCAGGTCCTATATTTTCAAAAAAATTCAAGAGCCATCAGCCAATCATTGACGGCCTTTCAAGCAAAATCCACCAATCATAGACAAGAAAATAGAGCGTAAGTACTTACGCTCACTTAGCGAGTTTTGAAAGTATGGCCCCGGGTTGGTAACCTCGGTGCTAAGACATTTACGATCACATTCTATTCTGGCCATTTGTACTTACTTCTGTGCTATTTATGCTTTGTTTTGAGGGTAATTTCAGCAGCTGGGCTACTTAAGCTTATTGTCGGTCATTAACGTCTACTGCTGGGTCACTGGCCTAACCTGCACTGACCACTGCTGGGCCGGTCAGGGCTGTATCATTCAGTAATGTGGTATATTTAGTTTATTGTTGAATATATCATAATAGTGTTGGGGCATATAGTTTACTGTTGAATATAGCATAATATTGTTGAGGCATATAGTTCATCGTTACGTAATTAAATATAATTCCGGAGCATATAAGCCTATATATACAGAAGGGAATGACGTTTGGACTTGGGGATGATGTTGGACTTGGGGATGATGTTGGACTTGGGGATGATGTTGGACTTGGGGATGATGTTGGACTTGGGGATGATGTTGGACTACTCGCCTGCAGCAGGCGGATGGTAAGTGCTCTCGTATACTTCGTCTCTTCCCTCTCGCCTGCAGCAGGCGGATGGTAAGTGCTCTCGTATACTTCATCTTGTCATTGTTGGAACTTCGAGCCGCACATTTCTTGACACTTCGCAGGCTCAGGTTTTTGGTTGAAATCTTCATGTTGGTAACTGGACGCGGTGGTCGTAAGTTGGACTTAGTTCTAACTCTCGATTTCATGGCTGTGCATGGGTTGTAACTTTAGCTAATAATGGCTGATAGACATACGGTACTACAAGTGCTGCTAAGTATATTTTTCCAAGGTGCGCCTTATGAAAACAACTAACGACGTCGTAAGTTATGCATCAAATTAGCGCCCGGGTTCACGAATGGACCGTCCAATCGCAGGCTGCAGCAAGAGTGTACGATAACCGTAAACTTACGATCATCTTAGGTAATTTGCATGAGGCTGACTGACAATTAGCCGCCAACGATTTCCTGGTATTATGTTTGGTATCGTGCCGGGTAACTGTTCTGATATTTAGTCCTGCCTCGGTGGTAATTCATGAAGATCCCACTCGGTATCACCGATCCTCATTCCTGATCTCGACCTAATCCTGATCCTTGAGATGCACGAGTAAAGGATCCATCGGTCATGGCGTGTTAAGTGGATATAAATTGAGCAGTAAACATGAACAGGTTGCAAACGTTGTCAAAGGTTGTGAAATGATGCAAAAAAATGCCTCGGTATGTAACAGGAACATGAAAGAAAACATGTAAGAGATGCAAAAGTTTTCATGACACTGAAGAATCTTTAAAAATTTGCTTTGAGATATAGAATAGTAGCAAAAATTGCATTGGATGCATAAGTCATGCAGAGATTAAAATGGAATACGAAAGTTAGGTTCAGTATGATATTTGATGCGAAAGCTATGCCAAAGCCAGCAATGGGTGCAGGAGACCCATTACATATAAGTTAAAAGGCCCTTTCCTCTATTACCTATAAGTTAACAGGAAATTGCATCTTGATTCTCGTGAGATTGCATCTTGATTCAAGCTGCAATTCAGGCAATCAATCTGCAATTACAGATTGATTCAAGCTGCAATCGGAATCTTGATTCTAGCACCATAGCATACAAATCTCGGACAGTTTTCCGACCTCCCGGGCCTCTCGCCTGCGCCTCCGACTGTGGCCAGGAGGCCAGGCGCCGCAGGAGGACGAGGCCATGCAGGCGGCAGGCGGGCAGGATAATTGAGGCGCTGACAGGCGCGTGCCCGATGATTGCTTCGCCGCGGGGCACAGAGGGCGCCGCCCTCCTGCAGCGGAGCTCAGCAGCCTCTGTGTACAGAGGTCCTGCTGGAGTGCCATGAGATACAAAGGATATCTCTTTATTGTAGAGCGGATATTGGGACATGAAAGTAGCGGTACAAGGACCTGAAGTGCTCATACATTTGTTCATAATATAGCCTGAAGTGCTCATACATTTGTTCATAATATAGCCTGAGGTACTCATACATTTGTTCATAATATAGCCTGAGGTACTCATACATTTGTTCATAATATAACCTGAAGTACTCATACATTTGTTCATAATATAACCTGAAGTACTTAAGTTCAGAGACACCATACTTAGTTCACTTATTGTATCTGAAGGACTTAAGAAGATACTTGTCTTGTTTATACTGGTGTAAGCTGTTAATGTAGCCATTATTCGTATACTGAATATACTATTTAGAATGCTAGTAATTCTTAAACTGTTTTACCATGAATTTGTTATCTATCTAATAATTGTGCTCTAGCACGCTATTGATTAATGATTAGTTATTGTTTTGTTGCCAGGAAAGTTCATAGCTTTGATTGAAACTTGGAACATTAAATGTTAACCGCAGCGGAGTTTGATTTCATACTGTAAGTTGAATAAGGATTTGGTTTGATAATCACGAGCCGTACACGATCACGTTAATCATTGCATTTAGTTGGCTTCAGAATTAACCCGCAGCAATATTGCGCACTACAACAATGTTAACATTTCTATTCCATAATTCTGTTCAACATCCCTCTCATGCATGCATAATTCATTATTCTAGTCAAATATCATCTCTATATTCATTCTCGTTGCCAAAAATTTTCGAACCAAGAGCATGTAACGCCTCAGCCATATTGTTTCTCTACCGTTTTATATGGCCCTTTATTAGACAATTTTCAGCGATGAATTATGCCCGGTTCTTCCTTCTTATTCTGCTCTTTATCCATTTCATGCTTCAACGTTTAATTATTGGCTCTTATTTTTCTTATCATTATGTTTGTTACATGCCCGTCATGCCACAGCCTTCTCATCCCTCTCGATGTCCCACGCTGCATGCGGCGTCCAGGACTATAGACGACCCTCAGGGTCCGGACGATTAGCCCTCTAATAAGAAGCGTCAACACCGTCGCGCGGACCCTCGCGCTGCGCTGGAATGCGGTGCGCGAGGCTGGCGACCCAGCGGCGTCATTGGTTGGAACTTAATCGATGTTTCCAGTCGCAGCCAACCAGAGAGCAGGTGAGGGCTGGTGGGAGTTCCCTCGTTTGTTGCGAGGGGAAAATAAATTTGCTTCCTTTGGTGGTTTTGTGATCGAGTTGCCCAATGGAGCGGCAGTTAACAATTAACTCGGACGAACTTTTGATGTATGAAGGCTTGCGATAGGCTGAGGAGATCCGCACGAACACTGGAAATATTCTGATGAAGATTTCTCGCTGAAATTCGTCGGTTCTCTTGCATCCCAACTTGTGGAGAGCGGTATGGAAGGATAACTTTAAGCCCCGTTTCGGGCCGCTGTCACCCACACGTCCCAAGACAATTTGTTCAAGGGCTGCCATTGGTCGAGGATAGGCCCTCGAGCGGAGTCTGCCTGCGCGCGCAAAATAGATCGCTGAAGCACACATCACTTGCACAAACATTCGTGTCAGCTGCAGACGCGCGCTCCACCTGTTCACCTTAATATTTCCTGCTCAATTATAAACCCAGAGGCTCTTACCCCTCCTTTAAAATACGACGCTGGTCCTGATAATTCTGAGCTGGGCCTTGAAACCATTTATTAAAGAGCCTTTGTTAACCGACTTGGAGGAAATCCAGATAGCCAAGTTTTTTAAATCTTCCTGCAGATTTGGATGCGCGCGAATTAAATGCTGAATTCATAATCACTAGCGAGTTTTTTGTATGCGTTGGTGCTGTGTTATTCTGTGTCTGAGTCTTGCGTAAAATGTGTTGTTGCCGTTGTGGGCAATTTCCGTGACCTGAGCGCTGTTTCATCCGCCATTAGTCAGAAACCCCAACATCCTCATTGAGGAAACTGTTTACATTGGCTGAGGGTTTCTCAGGCGTTGGGGGAAGTGTAGCACTCTGGCTACAGAGACTGGATCTCGGCAGAGGGGCGGTCGTGCGGCACAGAGACGCCTGCCAAGTGCAGCTCTGCTCGCCTCTTCTCTCAGGAAAAAGAGAAGCAAGTGCCAGCCGGGGAGCCTCTGGCGTTGTCGTGATGTCTTCAGCAGCTGTTGTCGAAGCCGCCGACGATAGTTCGGCTCCTGCTGGAGCGGCTTCACCTTCCGCAGTCCACACTTTGACTTTAGGCCGTGTGCAGCCCGCCTCCTTACCTGCTGTCGTGCGCTCTAGTGACACCTTGCGCGACGAGGTTGGCAAGAATCCAATCAAGGATGACCAAGATCTTCGATTAACACCAGGTTTTCTTATCAAAGATTCCAAGGCTCTTCAGCTAACCAATCTCAGCGGTCATGCTGATCCGGCACTCAAAGATTGCGTGTTAAAACAACGGGGCGAATTTCCGAGTGGGACTCAATCTCGACAGGGGCCTCAGCAAGGGGATCAAACTTCCGGTCACTTGTCCCCTGAAGCGTCTCACTGTAAGGTAGCGAGGAGGAGTGTGAGTGAGCAATCAGTTCACCAGTCCTTGAAGAACTCAGCTACTGGATGCAACAATTTGAAGTTCAGCCAGAACGTACAAAACCCAGTCAATTCTTGTTCGTATGCCAACACTTACGGAGCCCAGTGCTCCACCCCAGCAAACGTTTCTAGTCATTGCGTCAACTCATTGCCAACACAGCAGACTCTCACACCTCAACTTCAACACGGCCACGGCATATCGTCTCCATTTCAGCGACAGCAGCTACTACAACCTCGACAAAACAACGTAGATTGTCATCAGTTATTTAACTCGAGCAATAACTCCGCAAACTACGGCTTGATTGACCAGCAGCAAGCGTATCACCATCAAATACAAGACCTTCATCACCAACAGAGCGTAGCACAAGTAGGCCATTACAACGAATTTTTTGCGGCACCACCAGAACAAATCTACCACGGCTTCAACGGCAGCTATCACGACCATCAATATCAGCAGCTCAACCAGCACTACCAGCAGCACGTGGGTCCGCGTTACAACCCGCAACCGCACCAGCAGAACCAGACCCTCAGATGTTCATCTCCTTGCATGAGAACAGGTTTCTACAACAGCGGCAAATCAAGTAGCGTTTCTTCTTCCACTTCGCCATCTTCTGAGACCGGCCAACACTCTCCTCTAACTCCCCCGACTCTCCTGCACGTCGAGAATCAAAGCCATCTTGCTAAATCCATCGAACCACCAAACGTCCTATCACACTTCCAGCCTGGACTCAGCGCTACCCAGATCTCCCACTTAGGCAGCTTGAAGCCTTTGAATTCAATTACTGCATTCAACAGTGGGTTTCGTGGCACGCCTGACAGACTTACGCCCATTTCTCCTCACTCTGGGGACCACAGCCCCAGCACCGATAAGAATATCGCCTTGAAACAGAGGGGGAAAGAGAAAACTTCTGTTACCCTCGCCGGTCCCTCGAGCGTGACGGAGGTGTCCGCGCCCCGAGGCGACGGCATGCAACAAATTGGAGGCTCTGCTTGCATGGGTGAAGTTAATGGCAGCGGCCCGGGCGTCCCGAACCAGGGGACACAAACGCTGGGCCTCATGGGCCCGTCCTTCGGGGGTGACGACGAGGAGCTTCCGTCCTGTGCATATGCGCACAATCGCCTGCACGGCCTGCCCTTCCTCGTGCACCGTGAGTAACTCCCGTGATGTTGTCATCGTGAGTGATTTGTGTTGAGGAATAATACATGCATTATCATATGAATCTAGGGAAGACTAAAATATTCGCTATATGTTGGTTTGACTAGTGCGATAAAATTATACAATAGGCCAACGGCTGGAAATATAAATGGCATTAGGAATTGATATTGAACTCAAATTTCTGCTGTGATGTGCACCTTTTTGGCCCCAGACGCGGCCTGTCAAATGTTGCCGAAACTTGAATGATTGGATGAGCGCTCAGCTCTCATTAAACCGTGTCACGCTGCATGAGTGAGAACTCCACTTTATATCGCCGGCTCGTCTTAAATAAATGAAATTTTGTAGGTTTGGTTTGAATGGATCACATTCGGACGGCTTGCCTTTAACGGATGCTACCCGGTAGGCTTGCCTTACTCGAATTATTTTGGGTAGACGGGCCTTAAAGAAATGATATATTTCGGTAAGCGTGACGTGAACGATGTTCGGTTATACGATTAAATTGCCTGCTTCACCGTGGACCGTTGACACTCCAGCCTGTACCATATTCTCAACTGGCCGCTGCGTGACCATCGATGGTTATGACGGACACCGATGGTCATGGCGAGTAGCCAAGATGGTCGTAATGAACTCCTACCCATTTCAAGTTTGGTCAAAGAATTTAAAGTAAGCGTCAACATGTTCGCCATATTTTCAATGAAAATATGGCGAGATTAGCTCGATCATCAGTTCAATTCGAGAGATTAGATTAGCTCCATCATCAGTTCAAAAATATGAAGAATATAAGTAAAATTGAAAGATATTATTTTGTGTATCTTTCGATTTTTTCTTCTGATTTTACTTAAACATAATCTTAATTAATCGGTGGTCTCCGAAACGTTTTCATCGCCTTTAAATTCCTGTTGAACTTGCGATTTAAGCAGACTAATAAATAATACTTTTATTCGATACAAAGTTTACCCATGAGTGCCACGCACTGTTAATTGAGTGTAAAATGCCACTGGAAAAATTCATGGTTGAAAACTGAATACAAATATTATAACACGGAGACCAACTGCGTGGCATGCGTGCGGTGCCGTGCACGGAGTGTCATGCGTGGAGTGTCATGCGTGGAGTGTCATGCGTGGAGTGTCATGCGTGGAGTGTCATGCACAGCATTCATCAGTAAGGTCACAGTATTTCAACACGGGCAATGCCGAGGCTGCAATAAATCTACGGGGTTCAGTATCCAGACTTCACATGTCACTTCGATGAAAGATAATGATGTTAAAAGAAATTTCATAATGATAACAAGCAAAATGTTTCTCTTTCGCTATTTTTTATTAATGTTTATTTTAGAGGCGATAGGATATAAATTAATCTTAGCCAAAAACGGAGGAATTGAGTTTGCGTAGATTGCCGTAGAACAAGGAACAGTATTGCACGCCGAGCTGAGGGTTATATTGGAGTTTGTGTAGTTTTTTCCAGAATTTATTGAAGAATTAATGTCGCTTATTTATAGGATTTATTGGATACTTTGCGTCGCTTCTTTCCAGTACTATTGAAGAGTTTGTATCGCTTCTTTCAAGGATTTATTAGAGAGTTTTTGGTTGCTTTTTTTCAAAGATTTATTAAAGAGTTCGTGTCGCATCTTTCTAGGATTTATTTAAGATTTTGTGCCGCTTCATTCAAGGATTTAGTGAAGAGTTTGTCTCGCTTCTTTCCGGTAGTTTGTGTGGCTTGTCTATAGGAATAATTGAAGAGTTTGTGTCGCTCCTTTCCAGGAATAACTGAAGATTTGTTTTCGCTTCTTTCCACGATTTATATAGTAGTTTGGATCGCTCCTTTCCAGAATTTATTGAAAACTTTGTGTCGCTTCTTTCCTTGAGCAACTGCATGAAGTAGTTATGTCGCTTCTTTCCAGGAAAATTTAAGAGTTTATCTCTCATCTTTCCAGGATTTATTGGAGTATTCGTGTTGCGCCTTTCCCGGATTGATTGAAGTGTTTATTTCGCTTCTTTCCAGGATTCAGTGAATAGTTTGTGTCGCTTTTTTCCAGAAAAGACAGAAGAATTGATGTCACTTTTACTTAGGGTTCGGTTCATTGCTGAAGTTGTGTCGCTTCTTTCTAGGGCTTATTGAAAAGTTTGTTTCTCTTCTTTCCAGCAAACATCGAAGAGTTTATTCCGCTTCTTTATAAGATTTCTTCTTTCCATGATTTATTGAAGAGTTCATGTCGCTTCTTTTCCATCGTTCAATACGCCGCAAAAGTCAGACTGCAAAATCCCTTGCCTCCCAATAAAATCCCCCAATACAATAAAATCAGCTTCATACTGGTAGTGATACAATAGCAATAATATTATCACTGTTACAATATCATCAATACTTATATCAATAACAGTACAGATAATATTACAGATATAACGGCAGTGTTACCAGAAACAATACCTATCCACCCCTGCCCCAATCCCACCATCTCTTCTCTCTGCCCCCCAAACTCTGCCCCCCATGTTACGAGAAACAAAATGGCGGCCGCTGGACAGCTTCTCTCTGAAGCTCAGATAAAAGCTAATGGTTTATTCTCGTTCACAATAATAATAAATTTGTTAAATTATATGAAACGGATAGCTTTTATTATTTAAAACTAAATGATTTTATCATTTACTGAGTTACTGACATGTCAATCTTCAATCACGAGGTAATAAGTTATTAGCAAGTCGATTATTATTAATTTGTCAATTTAATAATCTGATTAAAATTATTATACTCACTGCAGTCACTAGTGCGATCATTGTTCAATCAGCAAGTTTAAATACTTGTCACACTTGTCTATTTTCTTCATTACATCTTTAATATTTTATCATATGTCCACCATTTTATCCTATGTTCACTACCAAGTTAAGCCAACGCGCTTATCAGTGCAGCTGATAACCCGAAGAAAAGAATGTTCCTTTAAAGTAAAATGTGTAAAATTTAAAGTAAAATTTCTATTGATGATTCTTAAACGCCGACTTATTTGTTTTTATCGAATTCTAAAAATAAATAAATATAAAAACCATTTCTAAAAACCACGTTTTTCTGGTGGTTACATAAATAAAAACAATGAAATAAAAAAAATAAAAAACTTTTAAAAACCACGTTTTCTTAACGGACAAAAAAGAAAAACATTAACTCTTACATAACATGAAAGTTATGTATAATGTTATGTAATGTTATGTAGGAGCTAATGTTTTTCTTTTCTTGTCAGTTAAGAGAACGTGTTTTTTTTTAAGTTTTTTTTAATTGTTTTATTTCGCTGTTTTTAATTTTGTAACCGCCAGAAAAACGTGGTTTTTAACAATGTTTTTATAATTATTTATTTCCTACTTTTTAGTTCAATAATTTTAATACTTAAAACAAAGTCTCAGCAACACGGCACGCTAAAACTCTGGTTGTTCGACAAAAAACTCGATTCCCAACCGTGAATTTTTTTTATTTTTTATTTTGTTTTTTATTTTTCTAAATTATTACTTCTGATGATCAAATCTTGAATTGTTAATTAGGCAGCATGAGCATGCATGCCAAATTTCAAGTTTCAAGGGTCTGCAGAAGAGCTCTGAATTAAGGTTTGAATTTTTGATGACAGACGGACACGAAACGAAGCTAAGAAAAACCTGGTAATAATGGGTTGGTAGTTATTTACTTCTGTCAGGCACTAAATATTTTATTTGAAACTTCAAACATTCAATTTACCGCGGCTTCAGTTTTGGCACATTCGTGAAGCAATTTCCATGGCTTAAACCTGTTAGCTTCCACGAAGGCTTCCACGCAGGCTTCGTGAAGCTCAGCCCGCGGTCTGTCGTTCTGACGTGACAGTCTGACGCGTACGATCTTATAAAGGCGTACCATTTTTGAACGAATTATTTAGCCTGGGCCCATAATTTCAAAAAAAGTTAAGAGATCGTAAGTTCATCAGCCAATCATTGACGGCCTTTCAAGCCACTCTTTTAAAAACAGTTAAGAGATCGTAAGTTCATCAGCCAATCATTGACGGCCTTTCAAGCAAAATCCACCAATCGTAGAAAAGAAAATAGAGCGTAAGTACTTACGTTCACTTAGCGAGTTTTGAAAGTATGGCCTCTGGTCTTTAACGTCGCAAGTTATGCAATTATATATATTGCAATGATTTTAATACGATATGCTACTTACGTTAATTAGCAAATTTTGAAAGTATGGCCCCTGGTATTTAACGTCGCAAGTTATGCAATAATATATATTCAATGATATTAATATACTGCATATATACTGCATTATATATTAATTATTAATATATATGTGTCTTAATAATATATATTAATTATTATTAATATATTATTATTAATATAATAACAATTAATATAATATATACTACAATAATTGTGTTATGCACTTCTACAGCTGGCGGCGGAGAGGACGACGTAGGGGACGAGTTCTACCCGTCGGGCTCACCTTACCGCGTGCAGCGCCAGGCAGCCAACGTGAGGGAGAGGAAGCGCATGTTGAGGTAAGACGTCAACCTGATGTTGTAATGTTGAGGTAAGACGTCAACATGATGTTTTAATGTTGAGGTAAGACGTCAACCTGATGTTGTAATGTTGAGGTAAGACGTCAACCTGATGTTGTAATGTTGAGGTAAGACGTCAACCTGATGTTTTTATGTTGGGCAAGTAATGGAGAAGAAGCCCATGTTGAGTAATGCTTGCCTTGTCATCAATTGGTCCTTAAAAATACATTGCTTTTTGCATCTTCATTATATTACGTTTGGGGGATAAGCAATGTACCGGAATAGTTTACAATGTTATAGCAAATTTGCTACGTCTCGAGATGTCGTCTCCTACCATCTATAACGTCGTAGTAGTCACTCTTCCTAGACGTAGTCTTTATCATATTTTAATAGGTATTAAAATAGCTTGGTTGCTTAAATCGCAAATTTACCAGGAATTTAAACAAAGAAAATAGCAAAAAAGAAAATAACGTTTTCTCTTATAAGAAATGGTGAACTTTTTAACTATTTTATTTGCTTTTAAATTCATACTTGAGTATAGTTAAAATAATACGAGAAAAATTGCTTGAATACTTTGAATACTTTTTTACTTTGAATACTTTTACCGTGAATACTTTGCTTGAGGCTTGTGAGAAGTACAATAAATACAATGCTATATTAAGTTGTGAACAATTAGGTTCTGGTTCAGCAGTATTACTTGGAAGTTTGGAGGAATCGTGGCTAACGTAGGAATTTGAGGTTTTACTGAAGCCTATTTAAGTAGGATAATAAAGGATTGTAAAAGATAATAAATGATTAAAGAGGTATTCAGGGTAGTTTATTCCAGCAAAAAGGGTCAGAGGCTGCCTCAGTTAAAAGGCGTGAAACGATGACCAGGTCCTATACTCTAAAAAAAAGTCAAGAGATCGTAAGTTCATCAGCCAATCATTGACGGCCTTTCGAGCAAAATCCACCAATCATAGACAAGAAAATAGAGCGTAAGTACTTACGTTCACTTAGCGAGTTTTGAAAATATGGCCCCAGAACTAATCAGGCAAAATCAGCGCCAGTTTAAAGAGATTATGAGATACGATAGGTTCTGCGGAAACTGTAAAATATAGTTCGATAAGCGACCTTCGAACAAGGTCATAATTAAAACATGAATTTCACATGGACGCTATTATTCCAACATTAAGCAAAATATAAATTTAATATTCCAATATTTAATATTCGTAATCTTTGTTATTGAGGTTTACAAGCCACAATGATGATTCTCAAATGATTTGGGATTCAATTTCTACTGACTATTTCTCTCATAAAAGACTACAATAGTTTCCTGATAACTTCGCACTAGCCAGAGAATATCATATGCTTTACTGACTGAATATTTTGAAATTATTTAATATTAAACTTGAAGATATCCGAAATAAGTTGGCGAATTCAAGCTAATTAAGTTATAAAAAGTGACAAAGATTTATGAACAACGAGTTTGAGGTTTAATAAAATTAATTACGACATTCACAGCAATGATAGTGTGAGATATAATATTGAGTCACCTCGATTAATATCATTCATTCATTTGGTTTCACTAAGCAGGGTCAGCATAAATTCTCAAAACAGGTCTAATGCTACGGGTTGCATGGTCGACAAACACTTTCTAATCACTATCTAATAACTAACATGTACAAATGTTGGTTTGCTTTTTATGTACAACAAAAAAATGAATATACTACTACAATACATGCTTACAAAATTAGTAAACTTAACACTAACCCAGTAGTTATGCTAATTTACTAAAACACAAAAGAAGCGCCTGACAACCGTTTAGGAAGCTTGGCGTTTCAATTCAAATAGCCCTCTGCTATTTTCCTAAGCTCTGGTGATGCTGCCAGACAGTTCGGAGATAAATTTTTCGTTTGTCTCGGATTATGTGAATTACAGAATAATAATATTTTCTTATTATTTGAGCTTAAAACTATTACAAAATTGTCAGAGATTATAGTGATTAAGATTGACCATGATTAACTGACATACAATGCTGATTACATTTACTTTCATTTAGTCCATTTGACGTAGACCATCAGCCAGGGTTCACAAATGACGTACGCAATTAAGGCATTAAAATATATAAAAAATACTGTTTTTCTTCTAGTAATACTATATTGAATTACTACATTAAAAATATAAGAAATCGGCAATACGTTATGATTTGGAGCTGGCTTACTTCCGACCATTTTCAATGTTACATTCATAAGCGCTTTATTCTCGATATAAATTTTAACAGATGAAAGGATTTACTTTGATTATCTCTTCTTACATCGCGCACAGGACTGGCCTGAGTTTAGCTCTCTGATCCTCACATAAGTAACAATGCTATGTACATAGAGGCTGCGTTTAACGCTTTATTCTTCTCTCTTCCACTCACCAGCAGTATCAATTCTGCCTTCGATGAACTGCGAACGCACGTGCCCACGTTCCCGTACGAGAAGCGGCTCAGCAAGATCGACACGTTGAGGTTGGCCATCGCCTACATCGCGTTGCTACGTGAACTGCTAACATCAGACCTGGACCCTGTAGCCCACATCGAGAAAGGTCTGCGGGGAGAGCTGCCTCCCGAGCAGTGTCATCTCTGGAACACCAGCGGTAAGTGTACCCTGGGGCCATATTTTCAAAATTCGCTAAGTGAACGTAAGTACTTACGCTCTATTTTCTTGTCTATGATTGGTGGATTTTGCTTGAAAGGCCGTCAATGATTGGCTGATGAACTTACAATCTATTAACTATTTTTGAAAGTATGGGCCCAGGTATCCGTGATATGTATTTGGCAAGTATCACGCGCGCTCGAAGTTTTATTGCTGCTGTTGAAGTACAAGATGTTGGCCGGTCAAACGAGCGCACGAGAATTTTGTATAACTAATTCAAATAAACTCAATTTAGTTACCGAATTTAATTTTTTGCGCCCATTATATAATCCTATTGCGTCGGAGGTAACTATAGCCATGTTATTGAACTCTAGGTACTTAAACTTCCTCTCTGTTTATTTCTCTTCACACGCCTAGTAATCTCCATGACCGGCTATACGAGTTCATATCATAGTTTCAGCCATTGATGTAGCAAGCAACTGATCTAAACTATCAAATATGTAGTCATTTAAATTATAGTCATTGTTTCTAACATTAGTATTTAATTTAGAGCGCTTTGAAGTTATAAGAGTTGAATGTGGGCAGATCTGACGGCCCGGCTGTCCTGGATCAACTGGGAGAACTTGGGGGTGACGCCGAGCCGACGCTCCCTTTTCTCCACCCTGTCCCTCGCCAACGACTCCCTCACCACCATGCCCCACTGAGGGCAGTGTGCTACCATGCCCTACTGAGGGCAGTGTGCTACCATGCCCCACTGAGGGCAGTGAGCCACCATGCCCCACTGAGGGCTGTGTGTCACCATGCCCCACTGAGGGCAGTGTGCCACCATGCCCCACTGAGGGCAGTGTGCCACCATGCCCCACTGAGGGCAGTGTGCCACCATGCCCCACTGAGGGCAGTGTGCCACCATGCCCCACTGAGGGCAGTGTGCCACNACACGCTTGCATCTGAAGGCATCTTCAACACGCTTGCATCTGAAGGCATCTTCAACACGCTTGCATCTGAAGGCATCTTACATACGCTTGAAAAAACTCTCCCTGGCACTTCCATTATTCGCTTAACGCGTTCAGCGCTTAGCCTCAAAAACGCAAGTGTCTATCCTAATGGGCGGCGCAATGGAAAACGCACGAAGGACGGCTTCGTTTGACTTCCTAATGGAATTCTACGTTTCGAATCTACATTATTCTTTGTCAAGCAATGAATAGAAATTTCCACTGCTAAACTACAAGGCGTGTTTCATAGTAATACCGTCTTGTCATAAAAACATTAATGCAATTTCCTCGAGCAATAATTTATTCTTTTGAAAGGCCATATTTTACTCCACTTTTCTACGTCCTTCCCATTAATATTGAGGCTCTCAACGTCTCTTGAGACCAGCTTCTGTATGCCATCATCAAAGAAGCTTGCCGCCTGATAAGACTGCCTGATTAGACAATTTCGTATCGAACACAGCTTGGGAGAGCTGACAAATTTTGAGCTAATGACGAAATCGTGAAGAGTCTGTTTTTTTTTTCACTGTATAGTATACTTTTTGAATAAGATCATCGGTAAAGACTGAATGCCTCCCACTTTATTCGTTTCTCATCATAACGTTTGTGCGGCCATCTTTAAGGGCTCTAACCCATTTCTGCAAGATTCCTTCACTCGTAATGTTTTCACCATACAACTCACTGATTTAGCTACGTATCTCAATTGATTTGTGGTGAAGCCTTGAGCACAGAAAACCTGGGTGAAGCCTTGAGCACAGAAAAACTCACGCAATTTACAGTGGGCGCGATTTTCAATAGGTGAAGGCGTTTTAAAATCACATATAAAAATTAAAACACGATTGGACGGTTTCGTTATGGCATCTGTGGCTTTCCAACAGATGTAGCTACACGGTGCACATGTACTAAACTGCGGCCGCCCAGTTGCGGCGGTGTAATTAAAAAACTGGGCTTGTTCTAAAAACACTCCTCGTGCATCAGAACCTTCACCTGCTGATGTAATTGTTCAGCTTCTTAATGGTTTAACGCCAGCGCAGTGGTTCTCAAATTGAGTTACATGGATCAATGGTGGTAAAAATGTGCAACTTGGTCCCAGCGGACCACCGTGTATATAACAATAACTTTATGCGATAAATTAACGCACCAAACAAGATTTAGTGAATTAATTATTTATTACATACTAACAAATTAATTATTACATACTAACAAATTAGTCCGGTGTTCCCCGTGATAAATAATCGCTCCAATTTTTGGTTTTAGTTATCCTGAATGATATCAATAATATTAAATGAATTTATGCCGCTTAAAGAAAGACCTGTTCAAACCAACATTTTAAGGGGACCGGCTACCTAAAACCGAGGTAGCCTATAACTCCTACAGCTATTATCCGATCATCATGAAACTTCACATACATACGTAAAATGTAAAAATAATAACATTTTACTTCTATAAATTTTTCGAAAAAATTGATAGAAAACGTGATATTCATAGAAAACGGACAAATAACGGGTACTATAGAAAATCTATCTCCTCCCACAAATATCGTCCACATGCCCCACTGAGGGCAGTGTGCCACCATGCCCCACTGAGGGCAGTGTGCCACATGCCCCACTGAGAGCATTGTACCACCATGCCCCACTGAGGGCAGTGTGCCGTCATGCCCCACTGAGGGCAGTGTGCCACCATGCCCCACTGAGGGCAGTGTGCCACCATGCCCCACTGAGGGCAGTGTGTCAAATGCCTCTTCCAGCCCTCCATTATAGAAGCAGTTTTCCATGGCCTGATATGAACGAGTCTGATGCAGAAGTTCTAACGGAGGAACTGCCCATGACGCGTAATATAGTAAGAAAATACAGCTCGGTCAATGAGTATGAATTGCGATAAAGACGCGACTTATGTCATAAAGAAGAGCGGCTATCAGGAAAGTGAATAAGATGCACACATATTAGAGCGGTTTAAGATTACGCTGCAGTTTAGTGTTTAAGTCTTCTTTGATGTTGCCTTGTTAACCACCATGTGGAATTTTATGTCCTTCGCTGTACATTACTTGGAGCTCCGAATAAAAAAGGTTTTTGTTCTGTAGTATTATTGCATCTGAAGGCATCTTCAACACGCCTGCATCTGAAGGCATCTTCAACACGCTTGCATCTGAAGGCATCTTCAACACGCTTGCATCTGAAGCTGTCTCTTATACACATCTAGATGTGTATAAGAGACAGATGTTATGTAATGTTATGAAGGAGTTAATGTTTTTCTTTTTTTTTGTCCGTTAAGAAAACGTGATTTTAAAAGTTTTTTATTTGTTTTATTATATGATGTATATAGTTAACAGAAAGTTTCTTCCGTTGCCATGATGAAACCAAAAGTGAAAATGTAAAATTTCTCATATGCCTATAACATTGCAGAGCCCCAGACATCGTTGCTTAGGTACCTAGTGTCAACGAACCACCATTTTCATCCAGTAGTGCAGAACATACTAGGTTTTATTTCTGCAGGACTTTTCGGTGAATAAAAAGTTATAATATGGTCCTAATTCATAAATGTAGTCAGGGCTGTTTGTAGTGGACGTTTTATGATACGACTTATTCGGTCACTAGCTTTTGCGTCCAAAACTTCGATAATGCGGGTGTCCGGCTTCGACACGCTATCTCCCATGAAGGTGAACATTAAGGAACATTAAGTAAACCTTAATTTTTACATTAAACATGAATTAAGCATTNAGCTTAATCCACTCAAGGATGCTAGCAGCAACTTGTAGCGCACCTCTACGTACAATGTTAGGAGGGTAACTGAGCTCAGATGCCAGATACACCAAGATATGTAGTCTTGCCGCTTTTATTTTCTAAGGTCTATTTAGTGAAGGAACTCCACCCCCCGCCCCCATTAAAGCCCGGCCATCTGCGTCAATATTGCCGTACATGGATTGCAGTAGTATCGTTGGAAAGCTCAGAATGTCAGCTTTAAGATGAGACTAAGCATGTAACTGCAGCACAACTCAAGTAGAAACTATATTCAAAGATTTCAGCAGCTAATTACTTTATATCTAATTACTTAAAGAACTCTCCCACCCGCTTCCCTTTAAAGAGCCGTCATGAACGTAAATATTGGCGTACAGCGATGGCAGTGGTACCATTGGAAAGAGCAGAATTCCTGCTTTCAGATGAGCACAAAAACCGAAAAACGCCATAATTGAAAATTTTAGGTAGCCGGTCCCCTTAAGCAAAACTCTGATTTGATTTTTTATAATATGAAATGAACTATTTTGTGACTATGAAGGTAAATTAATGTAAACCTTTAAAACAAACGAGTATCGGCTCTTCATTCAATCCTTTCCTCCGGGTTTTGCAATGCCTAAATATTCTCCCACTAACAGGCCCAGAAGAGAAAAAAAATCAGTCGGTCGTCTATAGTCTCAAGAAGCCAAGACCGCACCGACTGCAGGTGCTCAGTCTCACGAGTTGAGAAATATGTGAATAATATGATCCAACCGCAGGTGCCCAGTCACAGGAGTCGAGAAATATGTGAATAATATGAGTCATGTATACACTAGGACTGCGAGCTGACCACCCAACCCACCATTTGGATACTAGTCTCAGGGCAGCTCCGGTATAGAGCAAGCGTAGCCGAATAACATGCTTCCGTGATCACAGCTCGGGATGAGGATTGGGAAGATAAGGGCAATGAAGCCTGTAAAAAATTAATAGAGATAACTATGGCGCGCATGCAATCATATGTTGAACGATCTTTTGATTTCTCTAAATAGTTTCTGAGAAATCGCGACGGAGGAAGAGTCGCGACGGAGAAAGTAAGGTTAACTTGAGTGAAACATATGATTATTTTAGGCTCTGACAGAGTTAGCTGGAGCTTCACCGTCACATGTCATCAACATGAATATTTCAAGTCATGAATATTTCTGGTATGATAGAGAAGTTTACGAACAAGTTGATTCTGCACATACTTCATGAAAATACTTAAATATGATTACTCTAAATAATGTCAGTTAGGTGGAAATAATCATGTAAGATTTTACTGTGAATAATATATATTTCAGCAGGTTCTCTTGCGAATGCGAATTTTACTCTGAAGCGGATAGCTCCAGACAATACCAGGGGCCACGGCTATAAACTAAAAAAATGCGTTGTAACACATCCATGCGACAAAATTTCTTCTCGCTTCGAGTCACCGACATGTGGAACAGCCTCCCTGATAGCATCGTTGACGCTTCGAGTATGAACGACTTCAAGAACAGACTAGACCTGCAGTGGTTCCCAAACTTTTTCAGGCTGGCGCCCCCTTTGGCTCCCTAGTGAATTTCTAGCGCCCCTCACGGACATACGCCTCTTTCTTGAAATTTTGTACGCTGCAATTTTAAAAGATAAAGGTCAAACACAAATGTATATTTCACAAATAGAACCCCATTTACTGAACCAATGTTTTTCAGCCGTTTTAACTGTTTCAGCACTAGAAACCTAGGACGTCTCGGGCGAATTTACGGCCGGACTCGTGGCCGGTCTCACGACCAATCTTCAAATTCAATTATCAAATAATATCTCCCAAACTAATGAACGCAGCTCTATGAAACTTGGAACACGTATTCATCAGATTCATCAGAACCTAACGGTGATGTTTAGCTCGTAAATTTTTTAAAATTTCACCTTCATTCGTGAGCTACGCGTATAATGCGAAACAGGCCGAAGTTCGCAATGATCAAAGAATTTCTTCCTAACTATTGAACAGATTTGAACAAAAGTTTGAACAAATTCCTAACTACC